TTATTTAAACTGCTGTACTACCTTTTAGCATACCGAGCTTATATGGTTAGATAAAAGGTTAATTGTAATATTATAGTAAACTAGCTTTTATACTGGTAGCATGTTATTGGTACGAACTCTCATGTTATTTTTTAAATATGTAGTAGCACACACATGGTTCGCCTCGGTCAGGTTATTTATTTTTTTTATGCCCAAGTTGATAATGTGTTGGTTAACTGCCATATTATGAGTAAAAAGAGGCCTTAATTCATAATACCTTTTTTTTTTTTAAAAAAAATTGTATGCTAAATTACTTATATGCACTTTTTATTATTAAGTAGATGACATGCTTACCTAATTTTGAACATTTTTTTTTATTCTTTAAAATCCTGCAGTTCTCATTCAAAATTAAATATATTATTAATATTATTTATGTTATATTTTTGATAAGCAATTCTTGTAAAATGTGATATATAAAAGAATCTTTAATATTATTCAAGTTTTATTACTGTTAGTGATTGATTGTCAATTAACATTCAATGCTTTTTGATGCAGTTAGATCGATATAGGTGGTTTAGAAATTAATGAACAAACAAGAGACCCGTCCTTTATGTATATATATATATATATATATATATATATATATATATATATATATATATAGGGTGGTCCTTAAAATGGTCATTGTCGATTTTTCTTGCTCCCAGGGGCTCAAATGGTTCCAATGGAAAGAGCATGGAAAAAATTTTGAAAATTTAAAAAAAATGTGTTAGGTATAACTTAGCGACAAATGAATGAGTTTTATTCATTCATTTGTTCGCTAAATTACATCTAAAAAACATTTTTACAATTTTTGAAAAATTTTCCATGCTATTTCCATACAAAACTTTGATTGAATTGCGCTCTATCTAAACGTTAATATTAAGAGCTAAAACTTTCAGAGAATCGTTTTTTATCAATTTGGAACCATTTGAGCCCCTGGGAGCAAGGAAATTCGAAAATGACCATTTTAAGGACCACCCTAATATATATATATATATATATATATATATATATATATATATTGTTGAAAAAATATGTGTTAAAGCAGCCAAACTTCTAAAATCCATCTAAAACTTCTAAAATCAAACTCTTTATATTAGACTAATTTAGACGAAATATGGTTTTTCTAGGCAAAACTTATACTATATTAAAATTTATCAAACAAAATATTTTCAACAAATTTCTGTGGTCTAAACTTCAAGAAAAATTATTTTTTTTAAATCATACTTTTAATATGACTTGCAAAAGGTTGTGTTAAATAAATAACATATATTATATGTATATTGAACTAAAACTGCTAATGCGACTTCTAACAAGGCTGAGTAAACATTCAACGTTACTATGGAGAGAGTATAAAATTGACCAATCAAGAATTGTCTGAATATGTTGCAAATTGCCTGAAAATGTTGCAAATTGTCTAAAAATCTAACTGATTTATAAAACCCATTGATTTAAAAATAAAATCATTAGATTTTCTCCTATCTGCAAAATACTTGTAACAATGCTCAGTTTAAAGATATTTCAAGCACTAAACTCTGTTTCACTAGAATGCATAAATTATATTTGCTAGGTGGCATTGAATAAATCGATAAAATTTAAGACAAAATAAAAAACGGCTTTGATCTCTAATATCTAGCTTAATATTGCACTTACTACTTTATAAGAAAAAAAGTTTTTTCATGTTTTATATGCTACAATTTTGTGCATCATGATCGAGAAAATGTTTATTATTGGAGATATTTTTTTCAAAAAAAAGGAAAACGAAAAAGTTAATAAAAACCTGAATTTTTAATTTCCGACAACTTCAAAAGATTTTTTTTTTTAATTTTATAGAACATTTTTTTCTTGAAATTATTTATTATTTTACTATTACATTTTCTATCGGTATTTTGAAAATATCTCTCTCAGATTGGGTGTGTTTAGATCACTAAGTTAAGGTTAAGATGAGCCGCCTTCCACAATTTTATGTAAAACTATTCACAGTAAAAAAAAAAATCGGAGCAGTTATTTGCTTTCAAAATACTAATTGTAAGTAAATAATATAAAATAGCTCAATAAATATATGAAAATAAATAGTACAATAATTATTTTTATGTATATTTTGACATAATATTTTATATTAATTTGTAGTCTGAGAAAATGTATTACAATATGAGTACAATATTTATAAAATTAGATTTTAGGGAAAATGATTTTTTCAAACCAAAATGGGAGGCACGGTACAAAAAGGTTCGTAATCACTTGTGTAAGTCATCTAACTTTACTCATACGTGATTTGATTATTATTCTTCTTTTTTTAATAATTATACATTCATATATGTAATAGCATTTGATTTGAATAATCTAAAAAACATTCAATTTGTAATGATTGGAAGAAGTGATAATTAGTTTTTGACAAAGGCAGGTGCAGCCATTTAGAAGATACAGAGCTAAATGTACAAAAAATGTCAGTTTTTGAGAGAACTAAGCGTCCGATTTAAATGATTCAAAAAACTTTCTGTTTGTGTTGACGAAATAATTGCTTTTGTAAAAAAAAATCGTTTCAATTTTTTTTTGAATATCAAAAATAATTGAGATTTCAATTTTAATTCTGGTTAAAGTTCTAAAGCTCACTTAAGTATATACTTTAAGTCAATAATGTTAACTTTGTAATTCTGTTTATATAATTCTTATAAATATTAGAAAATGTTACAGTATTTATAATAATCTAATTGAAAGCATTTAATATTCTCCGAACATTTCGTTACGGTACGAGAAGTTCCAGCAATTTGCCCTAAAACACGATACTATACACCACTAGTTTACTATATTATTTATATACGATTATTCTTATTTAAAGATATTTTATTAACTCTGATGCCGCGTTGATATTTATAATTAACAAATTTTTGGAATTATTTTTATTTTATATACTATTAATTTACTAAATATTAGCTTGTGGCGTGCGACCAGACAGGTAAGCGAGGGGTAAGCCACTGCAACGAGATTTCTGAAATTTTCATACATTAATACATTTTAGTTATTATGGTTATTACATACATTAATACGTTGGTTGCTATAGCAACAGATTCAACAATTAGGTTTGTTATAGTGAATGTCAAGTTTATTGAAATTAATGAAAGTCTACTACAATATATTTATTTATTTTAGGAAGTGATTGTGATTAATTTATTTATTCATATTCACAAAAGAAATGAACAAAAGAAAATGTTTCAGCGCTAAAACGGTTTTAAATGAACTGCACCGGCTAAAATGTCAACAGAATTATTTAGAAAAAGTTAACGGGGCGAAGAAAATTATAGAAAAAATATCTACAAACAATATCTTAGCTAAACAATTTTTGGAAAAGTTTGAAACTTGTAGAAATGACCGGTAAGTCTTTTTAAAAAATTTAAAGGCATATTGACTTTTCTTATCTTAAGTGTTAAATATTACCTATTTACATATATTTATAACGCCTTGTCAAAATCTGGATAATTAAAATTAAAATATATATAATTAGGTAATTTATTTTTGCAGAATTTCGGAAAACATAGAGCACCGTCACCGATTGACAAAAATTAATGATGATCTCGACATCCTCCGCAAAGATATTATATACGACGAAAATTTACAAAAACATGGTAAGTTTGAAGTGAACACAAAAACAAAATCATATCGAAATTTTAGCTTTTAATTATTTTTGAGCTTTGTAAATTTTTCTAATAAATTATTTTAAATTCAATTTTTAGATATTCAGTATTACGAGAATCATGTTTTGAATGTGGAAGCGGAGCTAAAATCGTTAAAGACTAAAATTAAATCGGAATTACGGGCCCTAGAGTCTGATACGAGTTTCAATGACGTCGATACATTGACAAATCGGTTGAAAAAAAAGGTTTCCCAATTGCAACCTTTAAAGGGTAAAGTCTGTATCATGTCTACATCGAGCGTGATCGATAAAAGTAAAGAACATAAGGTATAAAAACTATTAAATTTAGAAAAATATATAATTATATTTTATAATTCTAATTATAATAGTAATTATAATTATAACTATAATTTGAAATTATATATTTGAAACTAGAAAACAAATTTAAAATAAATGTTAACATTAACGTAGAAACACGTGGATATAAAAATTTAATTAGTTCAGAGCAGGGGTACTTACAAAGTGAAAAGTTCGATCTATTTTGAACTTATTTTGTAATCTTGGTTTTTATAAAAATTTTGATTTTTATAATATTTACCCTCTGAGACCGACTGTCTCATTTTGAGGACAACGGGCTGTCCCCTTTTGAGGTAAGTCTAGCATATGGCTCGGCTGTCTCTTCTGAGGCACTCATCAAATGACTCAATTCGCATTGAAGCGTCGAATAAAATAGATCACTGATGAACAACTCGCGAATTTTACTTATTTCACCAACTTTCGTCCATCAATAAATTATTTATAATATATTCTTTTCATGTTGCATTAATTTATGAAATATTTACATTTTCAATTTCGTGTTTTTATAATATATAGCTTATTAGTATACATCTACTTTGCAAATTAATAATAAGTTTTTAAATTAATAAGAATAAATCTAAGCAGTGGTAAGACCGTGTTGTCTTCTCAAAATTTACTATTAGTAATTTTCAAAGTCGTTTTTACTCTTTTTATTATATAATCATTTTTTCTGAATATTGTAAAACGACAGCAATTTGTAAAACACAATCTTCGTCAAAAAACAGATTTAAAACTAACATATTTCACTTTTAAACACAAACTGTAATAAACGGTTAAAGCGCTTATATATAAATAAATTCGCATAAATTCATATGAAATAAATTGCAAAACATGAGCAATAATACCAAAAGCGATGCCGAGTTGCTGATAGATTGTTTTTGGAAAACTTGATCCGGGGGAAAGACGAAGGGTTAACTTTAAAATATGTTTACAATGGGTCTAAAAATATTAATATTAATAATAATTTATTTGATGATTTATTCTAATTTATAGAACTCCATTGATTATAATGTTTTGGTGGATCCAAATGGGAAATGGACTCCTGAAGAACATGCGCTTTTTCTACGTGCCAAGCAACGATATAAAGATAATATCGAGAGCATAATTAAAGCTATTCAGAAAGTTATGCCGGGTATATATAAGTATTTTTTTCATTTTTTTTTTGATAAATTGATTGGAATTAAATTTTTTAATTAAGAATAAAATTTCTTAATTTGTTCCGTAGTTGTTTAGTGTGTTTTTGTGTGATAATAAAACAGGTTTATCTATTTCACGCTTCGTCAATCATAGCAATCGTAATACGTATTTTTATATACCTATAGATTAATATGTATTCAAGTGAAAATAACCTATTTCTGCACTGCGACATAGGGAATTAAAAGTTTTTCAAACTATCTCACTGGATCGGGCTGAAGTTCAACTTACAATTAGCTTACTGTCCTGATTTTGTATGGAGCACCCATTACTTTATTTATTACTTTAACATTGTAGCTTTGATATTGGCGTAGCATCACAGCTAATCTATACCAAGTTATTGCACCTGCTTTAAAGTCAATATATAACTTACGCTTAATTAACATTAATTATTATTAAAGTCCTTTATATAGAAAAAATATTCAGTGCAGTGATACAGTTTTATTACCTACTATATATATTACACGACAAAGCAGATATTAATTAGTACAATATTAATTTGATCAATACGTTGATAATAATTAAAGTGATGTTAGAATTCAAAAATATTTTAATCATTTTGAAGTACATTTTCCGGGTTCTATTTTGATTTTTGTTACAATTGGTATAAATGACATCTGAATGATCTTTTTATGTAATCAGGTTGCTTTTCGTTCCTTGATATATTCCTTTGTTTTATATTTTTTGCAATAGATATCTCAGCGGAAGAAATTTGCGATCACGACGAATGGCATAAGAAATTCCTTGCTGCTCGTGAAGAACGGCGTGCCGAGATTCGCAAATGGCGGGAAGATAAACGCTCCTCAACTTCTCAAGATGATTCCTCTCAACATTCCAGCGGATTTGATAACGTATGTAATTACACCTAGTACTGAATATAATTGAGTAGTGCAGGCCTTATTGTAACGATTTTTTTCTCAATTGGACATGTAAACCATCGTGCATAATATTGTCTTAGTTACCGTCTCGCAGACTGACGCAATATACAGAAATGTACTGTGAAGGTTCGTCATTTTTGACATGTTATATAAACTTGTACCATCATAAAATTTCTGTTTGCGTTATAATTATTAACTAATTATAAATTTTATACATTTTTGTGATAGTTAAATTGTTTAAATAGCTTGTATTCTACTTGGTATTGAAAATGAGAGATCATCTTAAAAATATTTCATGGCAGTTAATTTCGAAAATTTGATAAATTAGACTGTTATTATATTTAGGGTAAAAGAAAAGTTATGTACATATTATTTAGTTTTGTAAGCTTAATGTGAAATAGACATTTTTATCGGTCAGGTATCACAACGTGAAGCTTTGCACCCAACAAGCAAAGAGGCGCAATTGAGAGATCGCAAAGAGCGCGCAGAAACTAAAAGGAGAATTGAAAAGTGGAAGCAACTTAAAATCGATAAAAAACGAGCAGAAGAAGAACAACGGGAGAAGATGATCAAGGAAATTAGAGTAAGAGGATAAAAGATTGATTAATTACATATAAGAGATCTCGCTCGATCAAAAATTACTATTTTCTAGACCATAATGCAATCAGTCATTCAACAAGAGGGTCAAAATTTTCATTTAATATTCGAAAAGATTACATTATTATTTTTCTTCGTTCTGTTCTTCAAAACATAACAAAACCAGGTATTGCCGGCATTTTGTGTTATAGCATGTTACATAAATATTCCGACATGTGTGACATAATCGACTTCATTCATAAAAAAAAGATTTAAGAAAAGGTTTAACTGTTTTAGGCATCCAAGTGAGATACATAAATGTTTAGTGTCACTTTTGTAGATTTTTTGTTCGTCTTTTACAAGCTCTCGTATATTCCACTGCACGAACGAATAAGCACGCGCTTAGGACATACACGTGTGCGCCTAAGAGCGTGGTCTATTATGCTAAAATTTAATGAATTTTTGTAATTTAACTACTTTCCGTAGATCTCTAAGACTTTAGATAATCGCTTAGGCCATAATTCTTATATCAATGCAAATTTTCAAGAAAATCGTTTTATTTCAACGATTAATAAACAAAAAACGGCTCCCACAATCTACATCAAAACTATCAATAACATAATTTCCAACTGATAACTTTCGAACAATTTTTCGGTTTTTAAGTATCATTATTCGCCAAAACTAATTAATAATCTGTTCAAATAATTGTTTCTTACAATTAGTTAAAAAAATGTTCAAACTAATTTTTCTTAGGAAAAAGAGAGTGCGAAAGTATTGAAATGTGAGCTCCGTCATGAAGCAGTAGTGGAGTGGAAAACTAAGAGAAGAATGGAGGCGCAGAAAGTGCTGATGCAAAAAGAAATTGAACATATGCACAGTATGCAAAGAAGTGCTGAAGCCAATAGGACTTTACCCGATTTTCGGTAAAATATTATATATAAAATATTATAATTTGTGTCTTTTTACTGTTATTATAAATAATTTAAAATGTAATGCAGTTACTATAATTCTCTATAAACATCACAGGATATGGACTGTTGGTGATTCAAGCTTGTTTTCGGGATACATTCCCCAAATATGTTAGCCATTATAACAAGTCTTAAATATGATAACTTGAATGCGATACAATAATAGTGTTACACTTATATAAGAATACGAACAAACGCTGAAAAATTTGTATAAATTACATTTAACGGAAACTAACATTTTTTGATGCGGTAATAATGGGTAAAAGTTATTTTTACTTGAAAACATATTTCATTAACTTCCCGTAGGGCAAGTTATAGTAATCGCAAAAAAATCGAAAATGAAAATTTTTGCATTTCTCGACGTTTCAAAGGTTTCTGAATATTTTGGCATACCTTAGAAAAAATGTATGCGTGTGTGTGTGTGTGTGTGCGTGTGTGTATGTATGTGCGGATACAAATTTTCGTCGACGATTTCGGGAACACCGATCAACCGATTCGAATAATTCAAAAAACATTCGATTCGTATTGATAAGGAGACGTGCTGATTAGTTTTTGGCGAAGTCAGGTCTAGCCGTTCCGAAGATACGAGGCAAAAAGTGCCGAAAACGGTAACTTTGTTTTTAAGAGAACGGAGCGTCCGATTTTAATAATTCAAAAAACATTTTACTTGTATTGACAAGGTGAAGAACCGATTTTTATAAAGGCAGGTCTAGCGGTTTCGGAGATCTAATAAAAAAAATAAAAAAAATGCCATTTGGCGGTCAAAAATGATCATTAGATATATGCACATCAAATTATCAGATATTTTATAGAGATTTTAACAATAAGTATAATTTTGGTTTACATTCCTATGGGTTCCGTACCAATGTTTACGCGTTAGACCTCGACGCGGCGCTTACGCGGTTTGATATTTCGTCTTTATGCAGTTAAAGCAGTACGATTGCTTTGAAAAAAAGTTTAGATCTTTCAAAATATGTCAAAATAAAGAAAAATAAAAATATGTCAAAATAATAAAAAAAAAAAATTAAAAAATTTTTTTTTTTCAAAAAAAAGTGATTTTTTGTCTAATTGTTTGTCAAAAATCTTATTTTTTCGAAGTAAATTTTTTTCAAAAATGTTAATCGTTTTTAAAAAAATAATAATTTTTGGTACGGGAAGTTTCAGCAATTTGCCTTAAGGCACGATGCCTTAATTGCCTTAAGACAGAATTCCACTTACAGCTACTTTATATTTCCAAGTGAACCGATATCATTACTGCTTGAACCATGCGTTTCCAGAAGGGCATCAAACCTGGAATCTTGGGTTTCAAAGCCAAAGCTTTTAAAACAACTACTTGATTTATAAATCAATTTATGATCAAATATATCACATTGAAAATAATAATTAAAAAACATAAGTGAATTGTATATATTAGTATTAGTTATTTAAATTTATATATGCTGTTTATTTATGTAATGATTAAAAATCCGATACTTGTTAATTGACCTCATATTTGATCACATAACGTTAAATTATTTTGATAAAAATAGTTTATATACTATTTGCACATAAGCCCGCATTGTGCTTGTATTCTGTACATTTCATGCTGTCGACAATATCATTATCATATTATCTTCAAGTGCACAAGATCAGAAATACATAGCGCGCCGCCGTGAAGCTTCGCTAAACCGCATAACGAGCACGAGCCGGCCTCCGCTGCGCGTGCGGGCCTGCTTTCCGTCGCTCCAGCGCGATCCAACGCACGCGATGCGCCCGACCGAGTCGTCAATCAGGCGGGAGCAGCGACAGATCAACGTGAAAGGGTCACCGAGAGATCTTAGCGAGCCTCAACAGGCGGAAGCAATGAGGCTGAGAGAGCAGGCTAGGTCGCTTAGTGTTCGGAATATACCTAAACTGTGAGTGAATTATCGGTATTAATAGTTAGACTTATAAAACTTATAAGATCTTATACTAAAAAACTGCTTGCTTAGATAATAAAAAAACAATCAATTGAAGTATAATAAATAACAAAAATGAAGGAACTAAAGGAAAATAATCAAATGAAGTAAGAAATAAAAAAATTAATTAAAAAAATTGGCTTGGTGAAAGGTGTTGTCGACTAAGTTTTGCCGGAACACGCATTTGTTTACTGCAGCGGTAGGTCACAGGGCCATTTTCTTGTCAGTCTTTTTCTGGGTCTGATCAACGTTTTGATTGTTGGATTTGTTTGCATTCGCAGTTTGTCGTAAGTTTTTTTTTTACAATAGTTAAATAGCAATCAGAAAAAAAATCTATAAGCTATTGTGTTGATTATTAGAAGCCCAGTAACAGTACTGGAATTCTATATATATGACATGACGGAGATCACCCCAGTGGGTTACTGCATTTTAATGCATTAGATCGAAGGGATGCTTCTTCTTCAATCTTTTAATATGTGATGCTTGTAACACTTGGAAGTAATGTGGGGATGAATTCCACTTCTGTTTTTCACTACCTCCTGGACAGTATCGATTCTTAGATCGTTATGTAGTATTCGGTTGCTGACATACCAAGGTGCATTTGCAATACACCTTAAAATTTTAGATTGTTTCCTTTGGATAGATGAAATTCTTGATTTACTGGCGCAGCCCCACAACTCTACGCCATAAGTCCAAATCGGTTTTACTTTCGCTTTATAAAGTAGAATTTTGTTTTCTAATGATAATTTAGATTTATCATTAATGAGCCAGAACAGTGACTTCATTTTTCTTTCCATTTGTTTTGTTTTGCTGTTTATATGAGTAATCCAATTTAATTTGCTATCCAAATGCATTCCCAAATATTTTACAGAAGCAGATTCAGGGATATTTTTATTATTAATAGACGCCGAAGGACATTTACCCTTCATTAATGTAAAAGTTATATTTGTCTTCATTGATTTTTGTGCGCCAATAGTTAGACCAGTTTTCAATTTTATTTAGATGATGTTGCAGTTTGATGCTTGCCAGTAGAGGATCTTTGTCAGTAGAAATAATTACTATATCATCTGCAAAAGTTTCAATGGTTGTATCTTTCAAAACCGGAATGTCTCTTGTATATAATATATATAATAAAGGTCCTAGAGCGCTGCCCTGCGGAACACCTGCTTCAAATACGCGAAAATCAGAAAAATCAGTACCAATTTTTGTGCGAAATTGTCTGTTATGTAGATACGACTGGAAAAAATGATGGTATTCGGGCAACAAATTATTAATTTTTGTTAGGAGTCCTTCATGCCACACTTTATCGAATGCTTGCTTGACATCTAGAAACGCTGCAGTACAGTATTCCTTCTTTTCAAATGCTTTAAGTATATTATCCACAACCTTGTGGCATTGCTGAATCGTGGAATGCTTGCGTCGAAAACCAAATTGGTGATCTGGAAATAAGTCATTATGATTAACAAATATATCATTCAGTATAAGTTTTTCAAACACTTTTGCCAAAGTGGAAATGAGATTTATTGGCCTATATGAATCAACAATCTTAGGGTTTTTGTCCGCTTTTGCTATCAATATAATTTCTGACGATTTCAAAGCATTTGGCCAGTAATTAAGTGTTGTAAGTTAAGTCTCTTGATTTTATTTGTTCATGGATTGTTTATGGAGGCAGGAGTTGGAGATATGCCATGGTGCATTTCTAAGTAAATTTTATTTTGACATCATTGAAATGTATTGATGTTGGATTTACTGGCACAGCCCCAAAGTTCTATGCCACTTGGGCTCCAGATCGGGATGATAGCCGTTTTGTAGATAAAGTCTTGCCTTTAAGTGATAAATTACATTTTTTACCTAATACAAATCTTTTATTTTTAATTGTATTTGTTTTTTCTTGTTATTATATGCTTTTTCCAATTTAATTTGGAGTCCAGGTGCATGCCTAAATATTTTACACTGCTGCAATTCGGAATGATTGACTTATTGAGGAGGACTATTGTGCTTTCTCAATGAAAAAATAATGTGTTGCGATTTGTCGGTTTTGATATTAATATATCATTTGTGGTACGAGAATTCCAATGATAATAGGAATTTTTAGACTTTTTTAGTGGCAGCTGTAATGTCCACGTTGTTGGAGATTATTGCTACGTCAGAGCAAAAAATGATCGAAAATTTTGTGCAATGAATACGAAGCTGGATGCTGGTTTCGCGATTATTATTATTTTTTTATCTTTGGCTATTTATAATTGTTAATTAAAAATTTTTTATAATATTCATTCAAAATATTGTTATAATTTTAACATAAAATAATTGAATATATGTAAATATATATGTGTGTGTAGTATGATTGTAATTGATGAAATTAGCTACGTTATAATAGCGATACATGAAAAATCATAAGCAACTAGAAATCGGGTTGATTTTCAGCTCAGGTGAATGATGTCGCATGTATAATATAGAAGTTTTATACACAGAGTAGATTATAGAATAGAATATAAAAAGCCCAATTGACATTGATTAGTTTTAACATAATGCATAATTGCATAATTGCGTTAATTAAATAAAATCAAAATAAATTCAAATTAATTAAATGTATTCTAAACATAGTAAATGTATTAAAAATATGTGTTTTGTCAGAAATCTAATTCAAATAATATTTATATAAATTACTGTTTATATTTGTGAAAAGAATTGACATTGCATTCACCGTACCCCATTTTTAACTATATTAGGACATTATAATTCAGATATTGACATATGAACAAATCGAAAAATCCTTCTTGAAGTTTTTTATTATTTAAATTAAAAATGGTATAATTTTTTTTATTCTATTTCAGGAAAACGTCGCCTTGGATACAGGAAACTAATAATGTCTAAACGCAATGCGATATTCCAAATGAAAATATTCATGTGCGGTACTTTTTTACATAATTGTGCTATTTGTGTGGAATTTGACATAAAATTTTATAGTTTTACTTGAAGATAGTTTTTCATTTTAGATAAAATGTGAACTTGAATAAGTTCACAAAAGTTTGCCTTATCGTACTAATATCATAAATTTTATATTTTAAATAAATTTATAAATAATGTTTCAGATTAGCAAGTTTGTCAATTATTAGTTGAAAATTATATAGGGCAAATTATAGTTAAACTATAAAACTAATAAATTAAAAAATATTAATATTTTTTGGCAAAAAAAAACATGTTTTTAAATAAATTAAAACTTGTAAAAAGCCTAGAGCACAGTACAGAGTTTTTTTTTGATAGAGATTAAAAAAACAAAAAGTTCTTGTTTTTAAATTGATAAAAATTTGTAAATTTTTAAAAGGCTCATATTTTATATGTAAAATTTTATATTGAAAAGACTCATATTTTATATGTAAAATTTATATGGAAAATTTATATTGAAAAGGCTCATATTTTATATGTAAAATTTATATGGAAAATTTGTAAATTTTAAAAAGGCTCATATTTTATATTTGTAAATTTTAATAAGGCTCATATTTGACATATATATAGCTCATGTTTTAAATCAATAGAGAATTGAAAGAAGCAATGGAACCCATGGAATATTATCCATGAGTTTTATTCGATTGGAAAATATTAAATTGAAATCATGGACTATTATTATCTATAAGCTTTTATAACAAGTTTTATTCGATTTGAAACATGGCTATCCAGTAGAAAAAATCAAATCATTTTTTTTTTAATTTTTCAGCTTGAAAATCTATCGACAGTCTTTAGTTTTATACAAACGTGATTCGATTCATAAATTTAAATATTTCAGTTTGAAAATTTGTGAAGTCTTTGATTTTATAACAAGTATTTTCGATTCATAATTTTCAATTTTTCAGTTCGAAAATCTTTGGACTACAGTCTTTAAATTTAAACTCAATTGAACTGTTAAAAACGTTTTCTTGTTTGAACTGCAGATTAATTATTATTGAATGTTTATGACATATGCGTCAGATGTCACATAAAAAAAATTTGGGATGTCACATAAAAAAAATTTGTCATGGTAACCGTTAATATAAAATTTTCAGTAAAATTATTTTGCGGTGGCAACCGTTGCCATGCTTACCGTTTGATATAATTTGTTGGTTTATTTAAAAAGTTTGAACCGACTTTATACAAGTTTTTACTAATTTTATGTTATTTTTTTCCATTTATAACTTTCGCTGTGGTGTACTGATGATAAGTTGTACATTTTTTACAACTCATAACGCACGCTGTGCAGTACTGTCTGTGAAATTAATAACTAAATTCCTTTTGTTGCTTGGCAACCGTTGTCATGGTAACCGTTAATATAAAATTGTCAGTAAAATTATTTTGCGGTGGTAACCGTTGCCATGCTTACTGTTTCTATGGAAAGTTTCAGTTCATCAATAGCACACGACGTGCAGTACAGCTAGGAAAATGTTAGTCAGATCCGTATCGTTGCTCGTATGCAAAAAAAAAAGAGGATATCTCCACACAAGGGCGTCCCGTACGCGATTGTCCCCATAACGCTCGATTTCTCGATTTTGAAAAATTAGTAGAAGCAATAAAAATTCATTTCATTATTAATGAAATTCCTTTCATTTCATTATTGTACGGCAGTACTGCACAGCGTGCGTTATGAGTTGTAAAATATATATAACTTATCATCAGTACAGCACAGCGAGAGTTATAAATAAATGGAGAAAATAACAAAGTTAGTAAAAACTTGTATAAAGTTGGTTCAAACTTTTCAAATAAACCAAGATTTTATGTCAAAAATCAATCAAACTCTGAGATCGACGAAGACTTTGAAATCTGTCGTGATCACTAGTCGACTGGAGACCCGGTCGACCAAAATCGACGGTCTCACGCTAGTCGACACAAATATTGAGGCCATACCATTATCTCCCGATGTACGGGACCCAAAAAAGTCCAGATGAGACGACTCAATCACATTCTGCTCCAACCGATCTCGAGGCATGTTTGCAAAAGTTGAGTTGACACTCTGGATAATACTAAATGCAATGAAACAGCTGTTAGGTCGTTATTTCATAGTCACCCTTGCTGTATTTTGAAGCGTGCTGTATGCATCAATGCCAAATGCATTTATGTTTGGCGCCATCTTATTGTGTTTAATAATAACTGGCAGAATGACTAGTATTTCACCGTGTATAAGATTGTTTATGATGATACCCTGATGAAAGTTGTAATGAGCTAGCGGAAGAAAAGGGTATGGTTAAAAATGACAGGGTAGCACGATCGAAACATGAATAAAACTTAAAGAAAAATGGTATTTGTTTCATTAATCAAAATGTAACAATTATATATTAATTAATATTATTATTTATTATATCACTATTTGAAATAAATAATTAGGTACGGTGTAAATAATTACTTATCATTAGTAGCTATGAAGTGTAAGTAAATATTATTGTTATTCGTATTGATTTAATTGAAAATTCCATGCAAGCAACGGTAACCATGGCAATGAAAATCACAAAAACATTTTTATTTATATTTTGATGAAAATATATTTTATACGCATATATTTTGTCCTCATTTCATTTATTCAAATTTATCAGGTTCATCTATTTGTACTACTTATATTGAATTATTTCATATACAACGCCACCCTTATTCTTTATCTATGACGTCACCATTGAGATTTATATAAAAATGACCGTGATCATCCTAACCTAGGCAATATAGGGTGTGTTCGGAGTGGCAGTTTGTGACGATCCACAACTCTTACAAACTCATTGTGATTTGTTACACTGCGCATGCGCCATCTCATGACAGTTTCCAACTATTTGAGAGGACGGTTTACATCAAACGCGACCAAACCTTCACAAACAGCTGAGCATTTTTTCAGATGTGTTTAGTATAATTTGTTTTGTTTTTTATGTTTGTTTGCGCAGTTTAATATTGATCTAATACTACTAGTTTTAATTAAATTATATTATTTATTATTTATATTTTTTTAGTTTTATTGTTTAATATAATAATAGATCAAAAATATAATAAATAAGTTTTTTTATGTTTATTTTCATCAAATATATGAAACAGTTATTCAATTATTTATTTTTAATCGTTAAACTCCTGTAACTTTTGGTTGTGGACTGTCGGTGACTGCACTTCGAACAAACCCATACTAAGTTTTATTCAATTTCATAACATGGACTATTTATTAGCCATTAGATTTTCTAAAAAGTTCTATTTAGTTTGAAAATATCAATTTTAAAACATAGAATATTATCCATGTGTTTTATAAAAGGTTTTATTCGATATGAAAATATTAATCTGAAAGTATGGACTATTATTCATGTGTTTGTATAAAAAGTTTTATTCTATTTGAAAATATCAGTTCAAAAATATGGACATATTATCTATGGTTTTTTATAACAAAATTTATTCGATTTGAAAATATCAAGTTTCCAACTATTTGAGAGGACGGTTTACATCAAACGCGACCAAACCTTCACAAACAGCTGAGCATTTTTTCAGATGTGTTTAGTATAATTTGTTTTGTTTTTTATGTTTGTTTGCGCAGTTTAATATTGATCTAATACTACTAGTTTTAATTAAATTATATTATTTATTATTTATATTTTTTTAGTTTTATTGTTTAATATAATAATAGATCAAAAATATAATAAATAAGTTTTTTTATGTTTATTTTCATCAAATATATGAAACAGTTATTCAATTATTTATTTTTAATCGTTAAACTCCTGTAACTTTTGGTTGTGGACTGTCGGTGACTGCACTTCGAACAAACCCATAATAAGTTTTATTCAATTTCATAACATGGACTATTTATTAGCCATTAGATTTTCTAAAAAGTTCTATTTAGTTTGAAAATATCAATTTTAAAACATAGAATATTATCCATGTGTTTTATAAAAGGTTTTATTCGATATGAAAATATTAATCTGAAAGTATGGACTATTATTCATGTGTTTGTATAAAAAGTTTTATTCTATTTGAAAATATCAGTTCAAAAATATGGACATATTATCTATGTGTTTTTATAACAAAATTTATTCGATTTGAAAATATCAAGTTTATTCGACTTGAAAACATCGACTATCATCCAAGTGTTTTCAAACAAGTTTTATTCGATTCGAAAATATAAATTTTAAAGCAAAGAATATTATCCATGTGTTTTTATAACCGGATTTATTCGATTGGAAAATATCAATTTGAAAACATAAATTATTATCAATGTGTTTACGTAAAAATTTTATTTGATGTAAAAATATGTTTTTAAATCGATAAAAATAATTTGTAAAAAAAGCAAGAGCATAGCGTACACGGGAACAATATTTCACTCCGATGCAAACCTCTGACGGAGCAAGCCTCTAATAGTCAGTCGTGTCGGAGGATTGATCTTTTTCTAATTTCTTAAAATTTGAACCATTCAACGATTTTTCGATTTGCTTATTCACATTACAAATAACATTGTTTATACTAGAGCAACAGAAATAGCGGAAAGGTTTCTCAAAAAATCGCCTTATTGCTTTCAATGTCAAGCATATCATTATTATGATTATATTGATTAATAACAAAAAGAAAATTAATAAATATATGTTTACTAAAATGTAGTTTTTACAAAAAATCTTAAATTATAATTAATCACAGATAAATTGAACAATAGAAAAGTATTATCAAGCTTGCTGCACAAATCTTGTTCTTTACTAAAATGTAGTTTTTTACAAAAAATCTTAAATTATAATTAATCACAGATAAATTGAACAATAGAAAGTATTATCAGCTTGCTGCACAAATCTTGTTCTTCATCCACCGGAATCTATCGAGGAGCATGTCGGCACAGCGATCGGAAATCGGACGATTTCAAATATCTTGCCCATTTTTCATTGCTTGAGCCATCTGAAAGATATGGGGAATACAATTAGTCAGTATTTCATCCTAATGCATAGTGGTGTATAATTTGCGGAATATCATGAAATTTTTGTTACCACAAAATTTTAACGGAAAATTAACTCCGCCAACTTAAAAATATTCACAAAAAAGAAAATTTTTAGCAACATGGTGGTGAAATGTGCATAAGTTTTGTTATATCCATGGATTTCTGATTTTCCAATAATATTTTAAATAATTTTAATTTACTACTATTTTCCGTAGTTCTATCAAAGTAAAATTTTATTCGTATTAAAGTCTAGATGAGTTAATATTCTCAAGACTGAATGCTAAAGTTTAAGGATACCTTTGTCCCCATGTGATAGGTCTTCCTGTAAGATAAATTTTAATGAGACAAAACTTACACTTGAGCATCATATGCGTTCAGTGATTCAATCTTGAATTGCAAATTAAGATAATTACGTCATGTTTACATTTCTAAACCAAACATTGATTTAATGTAAGAATGTAAAGGTGTATTTTTTTTGAATTTTTATTTTTAACTTTAAATTGAATTTGACGTACCTGTGTATTCTTCAACCGTCCCCAGGCCCATAACTGCAACATCGGCCTTACCTTCTGCTAAACATCTGCAAGAAAAAGCTTTTAATTGTTTTGCATACATTTGTAGTCGTACTTTGACGCTTTAGTGCAATGACGTACAATTTTAATTTAAAATCACACCAACAAAAAGTAATTCATTAAAGTTTCGATACATCCACAAAAAAATAAAAGCAAAATGATAAATAATAAAAATATATTTATTAACTTCCCGTAGAGAAAGTTATAATAATCCCAAAAAAATCAAAAATAAAAAATTTTATGTATCTTTGCGTTTCAAAGCTTTCTGATTATCTTGGCATACCTTAAAAAAACTAGATGTATGTGCGGATACAATTTTTCGTCCATGACTTCGAGAACACAAATAAACTCAATTGAATGATTCAAAAAACATTCTATTCCTATTAATAATGAGATGTTCCGATTGGTTTTTGGCCAAGACAGGTCCCACCGTTTCGAAATTCGCGGAAAATGTGCCAAAAATGATATTGATTTTAATGATTCAAATAACATCTTACTTGTATTGACAAAATGAAGAAGTTATTAAATTTTTAGCCAGCGGTTTCGGAGATCCAATAAAAAAAGTAAAAAAATGCTATTTGGCGGTCAAAATAAATCATTAGACATATGCACATCAAATTATCAGATATTTTATAGAGATTTCATTAATAAGTACAAATTTTGCTTATACTTCTAAGAGTTCCGTACCAAGATTTATTACATTTAACCGTTAGAATCTGACGCGGCGGTTACGCGCTTCGATATTTCGTCTCTAAAACAGCTAAGCAGCGCAATTACTATAAAAAAGAATTTTCAAAAATTTCAAAAGTTTTTAAAAAACTTAAAATTACAGGACGGGACGTATCAGCAACTCGCCATAGCATCGTGCATGCAACACTAGTTATGTATATATATATTCAATAATTTATTAATTCCACGAATTCTCAGAAATCGAAGATCCAATAGATAAAAGCTGAAAAGTCCAAGAAATAGATGGAAGAATAATTTTGCTTTTAAATTTTCCATGCGTTTCAAGTACATTACTTGTCTCATCATCAAAGTAAAATTTAACATAAAAAATATATATCAATACAACACTATATCAATTATTAACTTCCCGTGGGTAGTTATAGTAATGAGCCAAAAACCGAAAATGAAATTTTTGGCATTTCTCGACGTTTTGAAGGTTTCTGAACATTCTGGCATACCTCAGAAAAAATGAATGTGTGTGTGTGTTTTGTGTGTCCGCATTTTTTCGTTCACGTTTTCGGGCGCACGGATCAACCGATTCGAATGGTTCAAAAACATTCGATTCCTATTGATAGGGAGATATGTTGATTAGTTTTTGGCAAAGGCAGGTCCAGCAGTTTCGGAAATAAAAAGCAAAGATTGCAGAAAATAGAAATCGAGTTTTTGAGAGAACGGAGCATCCGATTTGAATTATCTAAAAAACATTCAATTTGTAATGATTGGGAGAAGAGGTGATTAGTTTTTAGCAAAGGCAGATCCAGCCATTTCGAAGATACAGAGCTAAATGTGCAATAAATGGCAGTTTTTAGGAGAATTAAGCGTCCGATTTGAAAAATTCAAAGAACTTTCTGCTTGTTTCAACAAAGTAATTGCTTTTGGAAAAATATGTTTGCTTCTAATTTTAAAATTTTAATATATATATATATATATATATATATATATAACGTGTGTGTGTGTGCGTTGTATGTATGTATATTCGAATAAAGTTTTCATTGACACATGGGTTTTGTGTACTGATTCGACGATTCATCGACGATTTCGAGAGCACCAATTTGAATTTATTGATTGTATAAGAAGTACATATATTGTTTCCATTTCTATGGGTTCCATAACAAGATTTGTAATATTTAAAGTTCACTCAAAATGATCCAAACAAATACCCTCGGTATTATCAACGAAAAGGAACAACCGACTTGAAAAAAATATTCAATGCGTACTAAAAGCATACTAGTTCTAGAAATCGTAGAAGAAAAATTGTATCCAAACCTGCATACTACACATACCCACATATCTCAATTTTTTTAATGTAGAAGTGGACAGGCATTTTCAAGTCAAATTTTATAGAAAAAAGTAAATTTTACCTGAAAGCCCCTTCCTCTCCTATATATTCTTGATGCGCGCCGCACAATTTGTTGTCCTTGCTACCAGGTATACAAAGTTCGGAGAAAAAGTTTCTCAACAAATCTTTTTCATTGCAATTATCAGCGTTTTGAATCATACTTTGATTTCTCAATTCGTCTAGTGCAGAAAACCAAGCTGATCCTTTGTTTGATGCAAAGCAAACCCTTTTGTTCTTCAAGCCAGAAATGCTGTGAATATCAGAGGTCGACCTTACCACAAAAGCTGAACGATAAAAATGTTTAGCTTCTAGCGGGTACTCGAATAAAATCGGTTGTAAACCTAACCTAAATGTAAACGTGATGCATTTTATCTAAACAATTATGAGATTAAATATAAAAATCCTGGTTTTGAAAACAATACCTTTCAGCTTCAAATCTATCCTCTTGCTGCACTATTGTAACATCTACTTCTCCATATGCAACAGCACGAACGCACTCTGTATCATTCATCTTTCTGATACATTGAACGTCTGGTTCAACACCTTGGACTGCTGCTGATTCTTGCATCCATGTACATTTTGCTAATGCTATGGTACTGCTTGTACAAATAGATATCGATCTGAAAAAAAGTTCGATCTTAGGAATAGGTGAAAAAAAACATCTGACTAAATAGTAAACACTAAGGAATACATCTTAATGACTCAAAAAAGTGGAAAGCATATTGATATTGATACAATCAAGAATTTAATTACCTACATTATTATTACACTTCCCGTAGGATAAGTTATAGTAATCGCAAAAAAATCAACCGATTTGAATGATTCAAAACACATTCGGTTCTTACTGATGAGGACACGTGCTAATTAGTTTTTGACAAAGACAAGTCTAGCCGTTTCGAAGATACGGAGCAAAAAGCACCAAAGATGATATTTCACTTTTTGAGAGAACAGAGCGCCTGATTCGAATGGCAGTCCCAGCGGTTGCGAAAATCCAAAAAAAAATATCATTCGATATATGCACACATAAAATTATCAGAAAATTTATAGAGATTTCAATAATATGTACACATTTTGTGTAATTTTTTTTGAGTTCCGTACCAAAATTTCTAATTTTAAGGTTCACTTATTTGCGAGGGATAATGAAGGATCGCATTGCCTTTGTACTAAACTATTTTTAAAATACTGAAATAATAAACAACAGTTTTACTTTAAAATAAATATTACCAGACAAAGCGACAGTATAAAGAAACCAATTTGAATGATTGTAAAAACATTCGATTCGTATTGACCGCGAGTCGTTTTTGTGAAAGGCTCGTCTAACCGTTTCCTGTGAAGTGCAATAGGTGTAAAGATGGTCATGCAATTTTTGAGAGAACAGATCATCTAATTAGAATAATTAAAGAAATATTATGCTTATATGTACACGATGTGAAAAAAAAATCAAAATTTGTTTTAAAAATTCAAAATTTGAAATTTTTCATATTTAAAAAAAAAAAACAAAGTATTGACAAATTAAAAAAAAAAATTTATTAAACGATTTTCAACAAAAATTTCAGAATCCTTCGAAATTTTCAAAAAAAGCAAAACTTTCAAAAAAAACGAATATTTTCACAAACTTGCACATTCTCAAAAATAATCGATTTTTTAAAAAAATCCAAAAAAATGTACGATTAAAAAATTTTCAAAATTTCGAAAAAATTCCAAAATTATTAAGAAAATTAAATTTTTAAACTTTTCACCATTTTCAAAAAAAATCAAAATAAAAAAAAGATAAATTTCTTGTAAACATACACATATGTTTATAGAATACACTTGTTTTTAATTATTCAATAATTTGTATTGATTATTGATTATTTTGATTACTCGAATGTTTAATTACGGTACGGAAAGTTCCAGCGATTTGCACAATGCCATGCACCACTAGTTTTATAGTGTTATTGTATTTTGTCGCCATACCCCAAAATGACTCTGTACATCATCCAATCTGACCCAGGCCACTTCTCCTTGACCATCTGTCAAACAAAACAGTGGACCTCGGCGTCCCCAAAATTTATCACCTGCTGAACAAGCGCTCGGGCTGTAGCACAGCGAACATAAGGACGGATATCGTTTTTCTTAAATAAGTTTAATAAATCTAGATAATATATTCAAAATTATTAATTACAAGTATTAAATTCATCATACTCAGTTCTCTGTCTTCCACAATATCCGTCACCCAAGGTCCTGCCTTGCATGCAGAACTGAAGAACATGGATGACGATTTTATCCTATTTTCGGCGAGGGATAATGAAGGATCACATTGCCTTTGTACTAAACTATTTTCAAAATACTGAAATAATAAACAACAGTTTTACTTTAAAATAAATATTAACAGACAAAGCAATGATAGATCATGAATAAACAATACAAAATAATGTTGATGCTCGGATTCAATATTTCTGATATGTTGATAACATAATAAATAAATGCTTATAATAATTTTTTAATTTTGCTGCTAATATTTTTTTTTGTTTTTATTTTAGAAAGTACTTACATTAGCTAATATATCATTCCAATCTGCTTCATATCCATGTCCAGGGTGGCATAGCCTGCTGCCTTTCAAATCTTGAACGGTGCTAATTCTTGCATCGTTGTTAACCACTGCAACTACTTCGTATTCAAATGGTAAATTATGAAAACTAAAAATAATAGATTAGAATTTTTGTAATTATTACAGGAAAAATAAGAAAACATTATTAATAGTTCCCGTAGGGTAGTTATAGTAATGGGCCGAAAATCTAAAATGAAAATTTTTGCATTTCTCGACGTTTCGAAGGTTTCTGAACATTTGATGTGTGTGTGTGTTTTGTATGTCCGCATTTTTCCTCCACGTTTTCGGGCGCACGGATCAACCGATTTAAATGGTTAAAAAAACACTCGATTTCTATTAATGGGGAGATATGTTGATTAGTTTTTGGCAAAGGCAGGTCCAACCGTTACGGAGTTACGGAGCAAGGAGTGCAGAAAATAGAAATCGAGTTTTTGAGAGAATGGAGTATCCAATTTGAATGATCTAAAAAACATTCAATTTGTAATGATTAGGAAAAGAGGTGATTAGTTTTTGACAAAGGCAGGTCCAGCCATTTTGAAGATACAGAGCTAAATATGTGAAAAATGGTAGTTTTTGAGAAAACTAAGCGTGCGATTTGATTTATTCAAAAAACTTTCTGCTTGTTTCAACAAAATAATTGATTTCAGAAAAAAAATTGTAGAACTTCAACACTTCAAAATGTGTATGTGTGTATGTATGTATGTATGTTCAAATTCATAACAATTCATCAAATTTCTAACAATGAATTTCCTTATGGCGTAACTCACATGGTAAATTCTGCCACAGTTCTTACAAACACTCACACTTGCAGAAGGTTTTGTTTCACATCAGTTTTAGGATTTTTTGGAATCCGATTCCGGAATATTTAATTGTGTCAGAGCCATTACAATACTTCAAATATTCCTCCTTATCTCGTATTTTTGTAGAAAGTAAGCCGACTGTTGATCCATCAATATTTTATTATTTCATTATTAGAAATTATCTACCAGGGATAACTTATTACAAACTTCCCGAAGGAGCAGTATGTGTAAAAATTTAGAGGTTTTTTGCAAAGAATTGTTAACAAAATTTGTACTTATTATTAATATTCTTATAAAGAATCTGATAATTTGATGTGCGTATAATCCATGATCATTTTTCACCAACAAGTGTTATTTTCATAACTTTTTTCTGGTTCTTCACAACCGCTGAACCATTATTTCAGCCTTCTCAAAAATTGGCTAATTCTTCATTTCGCTAATATGAGTAAAATGTTTTTTGAATAATTCAATTCGGACACTCCGTCCGCTCAAAAACCGAATTTCTATTTTTGTCATTTTTTGCCCCGCATCTTCGAAATGGCAGAACTTGCCAATGAGAAATCGTGAACCAGCAGCAAACTACAGACCCATAGCCAAATTGCCGATATTTTCGAAAATTATAGAAAAGTTGTTAGCATTGGGAATTAGTGCTTATTAAATTGGGCGAGGAGCGTATTTCTCTTGAAAATTTAAAAAAATACCATTCGGCGGTCAAAAATGTTCATTAGACATATGCACATCAAATTGAAATGTGTAAATTTCTTTGGGTTTCGTACCAAAATTTTTAATTTTGAAGTTCATTTATATGGTTCAAACTGATGTCCTCGACATTTTCGACACTATGGAATAACCGATTTGTATGATTAAAAAAACATTCAATTCGTACTCGATTGCGAGGCGTTTTTGCAAAAGGTGCATTTAGCCCTTCCGGAGGTATGGAGCGCAAAAGATGTAAAAATGGTCATGCAGTTTCTACCACAGCCCGACATTTATTGGCTTTTTTTAAATAATATTTTATTGATATTCATAAATTTTCTGGTCATCTGTGTAACTTTATAGCAAAAGAATTACCCTGTTATTTCAAGTTACACTCCATCAATTCAACTGATGTCAAACTTAAACTTCGACATCAGTTCTATCTTAGTCTTCTTGACGGTCGCAATAGTTCTTTCAATATATCAATTAATCGAGTATCTGTATAGCAAAATTTGTAAGTGCGTTTAAGTGAATTCATCATCAGAGCAATGGCAACTGGACCTAAAACCAGTACTCTCTGGAATCATTTTTCGTCAACGGGGTATTCTAGTGCAGAAATTCAAATCAATAGTTTTTTTTCATATTTTTTAATTTAACATTTTAAGAATATGTGTACGAGAGGATTTTCAAAAATTTAAATTATTTTCGGAGATACAGCTGTATGACCATGATAATCCTCTTCTGTCTTTATTTTGTATAACTTGAAATGCGTTTTTCTAAAAACTGTCTTTTTCAATACGACGCCCACGATTTCTTAGTTCCACTGGACCGATTTACATGAAATTTTCGGAAATTATTCTTTATAGACTTTTCTCATACATATACTATACTTATCCCCAAATTTTATTTTTACTATTTTTGAAAAAGTTGTGAAGCTCAAAAGGTGTTAAGAAATTGATCCTTTTTTTCAAACAGTCGCCATTTTATCAAAATTTATTTTTTAACTTAATTCTAGTATATACCATTACTAGGAGGGTTGCAATCGTGGGCTTGGTCACGAGTCAACTTTTCAGATCACCCACTGCTAATTTTTAAAATTATTTTTTTTTTAATTTCCTATAGAGCAAGTTACAGTAATCGCAAAAAAAATCGAAAATGAAAATTTTTATATATTTTAACGTTTTAAAGGTTTCTGACTATTTTGGCTTACCTTAGAAAAAATGGATGTATGTGTGTGCGTGTGTGTATGCGGATACAAACTTTCGTCGACGATTTCGGGAACACCGATCAAGCGATTTGAATAATTCAGAAAACATTCGATTCGTATTGATAAGGAGACGTGCTGATTAGTTTTTGGCGAAGACAGGTCTAGCCGTTCCGAAGATACGGGGCAAAAAGTGCCAAAAATGGTAACTCAGTTTTTAAAGGAACGGAGCATCCGATTTTAATAATTCAAAAAACATTTTACTTGTATTGACAAGATGAATAACTGATTAAATTTTTGGAAAGGCAAGTCTAGCGATTATGGACTCTCAATAAAAATAAGTTTAAAAAATGCCATTTGGCGGTCAAAAATGTTTATTAAATATATGTACATCAAATTATCAGATACTTTATAGAGATTCTAATATTGTGTACACATTTTGTGTAAATTTTTTTGGGTTCCGTACCAAGATTTAGAAATTTATTTATATGGTTCAAACAAATGTCCTCGACATTTTCGACAGTATGTAATAACCTATTTATAAAATTGAAAAATCATTTGGTTTGTACTCGATCGCGAGGCGTTTTTGCAAAAGGCAGTTTTGCCGTTTCAGAGGTATGGAGCGCAAAGGGTGTAAAAACGGTTACGCAGTTTTTGAAAAAACGGATCGTCCGATTAGATTAATTCAAAAAACATTTTGCTTGCGTAGACGGTGTACAAAAAATGCATGTACAGAAAATTTTGTAATTTTGAAAATTTCGAAAAAAAATCCAAATTTTCAAAAAAATCAAAGTTTCAAAAAATTCAAATTTTCGAAATTGTTTATTATTTTTTTAAAAAAATCTAAATTTTGAAAATTAAAAAAAAAGATTTCTTACAAAAATTGGAGAATATTTCGAGAATTTCAAAAAAAAAAATCGAATATTTTCAAAAATTTCCAAATTCTCAAAATATTTAGAAAAAACGTTTTTTTTTTAAATTCCAAAAAAATTCGAAATTATCAAAAAAATCTAATTAAAACAAATGGACTCTTGTAAACGTACTCATAAGTTGTTCATAAAATACGCTCATTGCCCAGCTTAAGAAGCACTTATAAGTTTACAGTATGTAATAAATAATCTATTTTTTTTTCATACTTCTGAAATTAATTCACTATTAAATTCATATATTGATTAATTTATAATTATTTTCAAAAATAAATATGATAACATTAATTTAATAGCTCATAAACACTATTTTAGATATAAATGTTACTAAATATTCCATTTTATATATTATATATATATATATATATATATATATATATATATATATAAATGTAATGTATCATACATATGCATATTATACATACATACCGACACGCGTATATATGTGTAATAGAAAAAATAACGGTATTATTGGGGTTGTTCTTAATACGGGCTATGTAACCGTATCTACTCTCCAAGAATATTGTTTATTCTCTCAAAAAAAAAATTTTTCTTATTTATTTTTTATTCAGAATATATTTGATATATTTGTTATTAATTAATTTTAATATACATCTGTGTAAAAACGATTTTTTAAACAATAACATGGTTTTTATCATATTTAAAATTTTTTTTTTTCAATTTTTCGGTTTTATCATGATACTAACTGAATTTAAAAGCAATATTTTATCATTTTGAAAAATCCGATACAAAGAAAAAACCAAGTTGAGAGATATGTATAGCACTATAATACACCAAGCGCAGCGGTCAGGCTCCCGAGTCGAAGGTGTTAAAAGATAAAAGAGCAACTCCTTCTTTTGCAAATACTGGAAATTTAATAAGACACTTGGAAAGAAAACACACCAAAGAAAACACGTAATAAAATTATATAGTATGTTTATAACTCCTACCGCATTTCGTTCGTGACGAGTATATCAATTCCGGACCACCTCGCCGCCACCAAATCTTCAGCGCTGAAAACCGCGAAATCTGCGACGCCTTTTCCAATCCGCCTTAAGCAATCTAAACGATCTGCACCCAGGATGCATTCTACTGGTGCATTTAACTTGTCCAGAGTAGGGCAAAATTTATTTGCTTTTTTGTAAGCACCCCGAGATTCCACTACGCAGACACGATCTGTAAGAAGTTATATAATCATAAGAAAATCTTTTAGGCGATACATTTTTGGAACAGTTATCTACAATGTTCTATATAGATTCCAACCATCAATTTTTATTAAAAAATATCGGCAATTTAGGGTCCATTAATGTACAAGTTGTCTTTGCCGTTTCTTTGTTTTTAGCACATTATTTGAATGTTTTTATAATACTGCAAAAAAATAGATAGAAGATAATAGATAGTACTGAAAGAAATAGATGTAATGATTGGATAGCACCAAGTTTCTATAAAATTTATTGTTATTAAAGAAACTTGTAAATTATTAAGTTCAAAATTATGAATCATTTAACATTAATGCCGTGTTAACATACGCAGCGTAAATTAATTCAACTCTCCTGAATTTGCTACAGTAACAGTCTCTAGTTTTGTGAAACAGATAAACAATATAACATGGAAGCACCTTGCCTTATCGATAGTAATCTAAAAATGTTTATATATAAAAGATATCATATAAAATTTGTAAATCCTGTATAGTGTAAAGTAGCGCATAACGTACAATAAATCCTGTATAGTTTAAATAATTTAACATGGAAGCACCTTGTTTTATTGTTAATGATCTAAAAACTTGAATATATAAAAGATATCATATAAAATTAGTGCAGTAAATCCTGTAATCTAATATCGGTAAATCTGGTTAAATCATGCAACAGATAGTGTAGTTTCTTTTCTTTTTTTTTTTTTCTTTATTTATTATAGACAATTAGAATTACAAATTTCTATGAGCCTATGTGGTCCATTAAATATGACATTTAGAGGTATCTTTCACTGAAGAAATACCCCTGTAGATAATCTATGTTAATAAAATAAATCAACGTTAATAAAATATATCTATGTTAATAAATAATCTATGTTAGTAATATAACAGAGCTTAAATTAAGTTAGTAGATCTTCTGGCCATTTTCTTTTGAGCCTTCTAGTTGGATCATGATTTTTGATTAATTGCATGGCTGGATTTGGATGTTGGTCTAATCTCATATGGCAAGAATTGCTTCTTTGCTGAATTACTTCTTTTACGGTCAGTATGTTTAAATCTGATGGAATACTGTTATTGGAAACGTATCATGGTGCATTAACTATTGCTCTTAAAATTTTATTTTGAGTTCGTTGGATAATATTTATGCTGGACGTGCTTGCACATTCCCATAATTGAATACCATAAGTCCATATCGGTATAATTACTGACTTGTATATTAGTAATTTATTGTTGTATGACATTTTAGATTTTCTTCCTATTAGCCAGTAGAGTTGTCTAAATTTATTCATAATTTGCTTCCTTATTTGCTTTATGTGAATCTTCCATGTTAGTTTGCGGTCCAGATGTAAACCTAAGTATTTAATGCTGGCACAAGTCAATATTTCCACGTTGTTTATAAATACAGTAGGACAGTTTTTCTTTCTTGTAGTGAAAGTGATATGTCGCGTTTTATCCGTGTTTAGCTTTATTTTCCATTTTATTAACCATTTCTCTAACTCAAACAGGTGGTCCTGTATGTTTAGTGTTGCAATTTTTGGATCTTCGTGGGTAGCCAGGATCATGGTGTCATCGGCAAATGTGCCGAGGGCTTAGTGGCATGTCGTGTCGGAGATACGGAGCAAAGAGTGCAGAAAATAGAAATCGACTTTTTGAGAGAACGGAGTATCCGATTTGAATGATCTAAAAAACATATAATTAGTAATGATTGGGAAAAGTGTTTATTAGTTTTTGGCAAAGGCAGGCCCAGCCATTTCGAAGATACGGAGCTAAATATGTAAAAAATGGCAGTTTTTGAAAGAACTAAGCGTTCGATTTAAATGATTCAAAGAACTGTCTGCTTGTCTTAACAAAATAATTGATTTTAGAAAAAAAATGTGTTTCAATTTTTTTTTTCAAAAAAAAAATTTTTTGTATATCGAAAATAATTCAGATTTTATTTTTAATTCTGACTATAGTTGTAATATACTTTAAACAAATAATTTCAACTTTGCAATTCAATTTATATAATTCTTATAAATATTAGACAATGTTACAATATTAATAATAATCTATTTGAAAACATTCAGTATTTCTCGAACATTTCGTTACGGTACGGGAAGTTCCAGCAATTTGCCTTAAGGCGCGATGCCATACACCCCACTAGTTTTCATTTTGCATTCATAAGACAACACTCTACTATTAAACTGATTCATAGTGTTGTTGACATCATCAATATGTCAACGTATGAAGCTTTTCACCTCAAAAATAGAGAATAAAAGTAATCACTATTCAATTAGTATAAATAGCGCAGGGGTCTAAAATAAATTTATAAAGATAAATTTTATTAACTTATTATATATTATATCTTAAGATCCACTTATTATATTTCTACGAAATAAAGATAAAGAGTTTCTACAACTATTCCTCTACAAGTAAAAATAATTTCACTAATGTTGCTCATTCTTTCACAATTAATCAATTTCTAGAAAAAGTGCGCTCTTACAACTTATCACGTGTTCAAGGCTAGTTACTATACATTTCATTTAATCTTCTCTAATTGTTATGTCCTCATGTTACAACTAGCCCCAAGGTATTGTCTCAACTAACCCCAGGCGCTATTTTTTACACAACATACTAACAAGAATTGATAGATTTGAAACAAAATTAGATATATATTAGGTGCGCAACTAAGTTCTCGCTGTTTTTAGATAAAAATGTAACTTTTACATTATAAAAAAACTCTTACATCTGAATCATTCAAAGTACTGCCCACCGCTAGACACAACTTTTGCGCATCTTTCTGGCAGAGCTCGAATACGTTGACACCAGAAGTGTTCGTCTTTTGAGGCTATCAACGAATCAAGCCATTTCCAGCCAGGCCATTGTGCCATCGAACGGAACAAGTAAAAATCGAACAGAGCAATATCTAGAGAATATAGCGGGTGGTGTAGGACTTGCCATTTGAGAGTTCCCAAGTAGGTTTTAATAGGCATAGCAACGTGAGGCCGAGTATTGCCATGCAATAAAATCACTGTTTCGTGCCTCTGCTCGTATTGCAGCTGTTTTTCGCGCAGTGCTCGGCCAAATTGCATCTACTGAGTTTGATACCGTTCTCCAGTGATGGTTTCGCTCGGTTTCAAAAGGTCATAGTAAATAACACCGACCTGGTCTCACCATAAGACCATAAAGATGATAACCTTCGCAGCGTGAATATTCGGCCTAACCGAGATTTTATCCTCTTTAAATTGCTGGAATGTATTTATTTTTCGTCACCTGTCCCGATGCGATGAAGAAACCCTTCCTGTCTTGCCGCTGCAACAGTTGTTCATTGGCGAAAATCGACGCTCCACGAATCTTGCCTTCAACTCATAATATAAGGAACCCAAGTTTCCTGCTTCTGAATCATCCGCGACGCATGGAATCGCTTGAAAATGGTTTGACGGGTAATTTCTAATTCTGAAGCAAACTTTTCTTGAGTTTGGCACGAATCCTCTTAAAGCAAGGTCTTCAATTTAGCGTCTGTGAAGGCTTTGGGCTTTCTTTCACGATTGCGGAAGTCAACATCAAAATCACCGTCTTTGAAGCGACAAAACCAATTACGGCATGTTGTTTCGCTCAAAGAAGCATTTCCGTATCTCTCGCTGCGCTTGAGCTACCGTTTTTTCGATTGGAAGAAGAAAATCAACACTTCCCGCAAATGACGATTGTTTGGCATAAAATTAGACATATTTACTTAACCAGATGCATATAATGCAAAAACGAAATCACTTATGTGTCGCAGCAGTTTGTTTACCATATGTCTAAGCTTGGTTCGTGAAGTTTTGGACATGTCAAAACTGAACAACCCTTATACTGCTAGAGTCATATACTGACAAACAGCGAGAACTAAGTTGCGCACCTAATAATATTCAACATAAGTCGATAATAATAACTCAAACCGAAATTTTATGATTATCATAAAATCTATTGATCTATTAGATCAATTTTATATCGCCTGTCGAAAATGACGGACCGGTACAGTTCTGTTTATTGCGTCGGCCTGCGGCACAGTAGCTTTGACAATATTATGCAGAGCGGCTTACATGTCCAATAAAGATAAAAAAATAATTTTAAGAATATGTATTTTTGAAAATATCGTTTAAAATTTTATTGAAAAACGCCTGTTCCTAGTTGGCCCTGTTACAGATAGCCCCTATACCGGCATAATAACGTTTCTTAACATGAATTCTTGAATAATGAATATTTAAATAAAGAATTCAAAAATATCGCAATATCATAATGAAGGACTGACAAAAAACGATTACAGATCAGCGTAGGAACAAATAGAATAAAAAAATGAATAAATCCAAGTTGTAAGAGCAAAAATACATATAAAAAATAAGGCTATCTAAGGGCATCTAGCGGTAAAAATGATCATTAGACATATGCACATCAACTTATCAGATATTTTATAGAGATTTTAACAATAAATATAATTTTTTTTTACATTCCTATAGGTTCCGTACCAATGCTTATTGCGGCGCGGCGCTTACGCGCTTCGATATTTTGTCTCTATGCAGTTAAAGCAGTACGATTGCTTCGAAAGAAAAGTTCAGAATTTCCAAAATATTTTAAAATACACTTTTCTTCAAAAAGTCTTTTTTTTTCAAAAAAAAAGTAAATTTTTGTCAAAAATGTATAGTTTCTCAAAAATCTAATTTTTCTGAGTGAATTTTTTTCAAAAATGTTAATCTTTAAGATAAAAAAAAAATTGGTACGGGAAGTTCCAGCTAGTTAAATTTGTTCAGATGTAAGAGTTTACATTGATTTAACAAAAATGTTACAACAAGCCCCTAGCTACGCAACCATTTAAACAGATAGTGATTATAAATAGCATATAAAATAAAAATAGATCTAATAATAATTTGAAGATTATTAAAGATATAAGCAACTTCAAATTTTCAATGATTGTGAAAAATTTTCTCTGTAATTTTGTGAATATAATATTAATTTTTTAACATTCTTT